TATGCTGATGACTTGTTATAGTGTGAAGCCTACCATGTTAGCACGGAGTCTCGGTACTGAATAAAGGTCTTCTTCCTCGACCGCTCAGCGAGTTGCAGTATGACCTTCCCCAGCATCATCAGCGACTTGTTGATATTAACTCCCTCCTGCAGCCAGCAACACAACAAGCATTACATACAATTCACAGGTAACACTGCGCGTCAGGGTAAAAAATACACGGGAGCGATGAGCGATTCGCTCTTCAAACCTCCGAAATCGCTCCCGTGATGCTCAAAATAGCTCCCATCAAATTTTGGACAAGAGCTATTTTTTCCACAGACTTGAAAAAGAGCTCTCGTGTAAAAAAAGGTATATAATTTTTTCCCTGCTGTGCGTCACAGCAAATTAACACAGGGGTATTAACCTGTGGTCCATGGACCCCCATGGACCCCGTTGGGGTCCGTAAACCAGGCGCATGCAAAATTGTGTGTTTCTGTGCATTTTTCTGGGGAAGGGTCCGTAGCTTTCACCTGATTCTCAAAGGGGTCCATGACTTAAAAAAGGTTAAGAACCACTGAACTAACTTATCCACCTGGACTGATTGACAGGTATGCTATCAGCTGTGCTATAGGAGCGTTCTAAACGGTGGATATTTGAAGATTTGGTGCAAGCGTGAAAAATGCGTAGAAACTAGCCTTGGCGCAAAGTTAAAAATTTGGCGTGCACGCGTGAAAAATGCGTAGAAACTAGTCTAGCTAGACCGTCCTAACAGGATTAGATGTGTAGTTATCTCACACAAACGAACAGATCAAGAGTCCGGGAGCTGGTCAAGTGTAGAGACTAGTATAGCATATCTTGTGGCTTAATGAGCCTAGCTAGCGCGTCTGAAATGAACGTAACAGCTACCTTGAATCTGTCGCCAGTTGTTTTGGCATTAGCAGCACGCTCACTGCCAGCCAGGTCCACCAGGTTGATACGACTCGTCTTGCTGCTCTCGTGCAAGATGTCGTCAATAGAATCAGTCTGCAAACACACCCAGCGAGACTTGTGATACGCACATACGAACCTTACTGCACATTCCGCAAGACTAAGAGCCAACCACGCAGACCCGTGTCGGAAATACATGCACTGTGCATTAAATTAAATTGTGTAATTATTTAATAACGTCCACTAATATGTACATAATTAATAACATAATAATATAATGTATTATTATAAGTAATGTAAGTCATAACGTATGTAAAAAATACATGTTACAAGTACCTATAGCAGCTATATTCATTTTGTATCAAACTGTGGAAGGATAATTTCTAAGTAAGCCCCAATACACTGAAAGTTCATTTATTATGACAAAAGATGCACTCACATTTAGTTACACTCATGTATATATAAACCCGCAATGCACCCAGCTTGGTCTTTCTACTTTTAATGACTCATAAACCTTTAAACCCAACACCCCCACCCACTCCTCACCCCCCTCCCTGCGCACGCGTATCTTACCCGGGTCTGCGTTAACACGAGGGTGAAGACGGAGTGTGAGCGGCTGCTCTTGTCATTCATTCCCGTCGCTGCCGTCGCGCGCTGCTTGTTGCCTAGTTCCAGCCAGCCGAGCACGTCGCTGTAGCTCTGCGTCGGCACCTTCGTGAGGTCTTCCACGTACGGACCCATGACGGGATGCTCCCGCACCTTCAGCTGCTCGCAAACACACACACACAATGCTGTTAATATATCGTCACGGTCTGTACCCTATGGGAAAAATTTCCTATCACGTCCCTGCCTGTAATGTCGTGAACAGTGTGGTTTCACTGTATCAGTGACACGATTCAGCATAGTAATAATCCTGGAGTTTTACAGGACTTTTAGGATTTCTTCCTTCTTAATTAGTGCCAAATTTCAGTCAAATTCAATCTTTGTACCAAGTATCGTGACTATCGTCCAGTCAGCGATTAGTGGAAAAACTCTTGCAAAAACTAAATTTTATTTCCGTTCAGATAAGCTAAACACGAGCTGAATTCCAGGACTTTCTACAACCAAATATAATTATAGTCCATTTTCCAAGATTTCCTAGGTTTTCCCAAACCCATAAGACTCCTAGAATTGGCACTAGGGCATTCTTACGTCTGTCGTGAAATAACTTTTCCACTGATATCTCGAATGACTGATCATTGCTGTCAGAAAGATGTCACCCACAGTACAACCGTGTGTGATACATTGCTGTTACTATGCTGAATCGTGTCAATGAGAGAATGAAACCACACTGTTCATGACGTTACAGATAGGGACATTACAATATACGTTACCATGGCGTAACAATTAAACTCAGTAATAAACAGATAAGTAATGATCTAAGACAGACAGTAATTTGTATATGGATACACGTGGCGCACCTGAATATGCACACACACAACTAGAGACTTGCTCAGAAAGATGAATAAATGATCATGAGGCTCAATACCGAGGTCTTCTGGCCTTTCTCATTACTGGCTTGCAGGAGATCATGAATCTTCTCATTGTAGATCTCATAGTAGCTGATCTCTATGTTGTAGACTACAGCGCCCCCTGGTACAGCTTCCGCGAAGAGATCCTCGCAGAAGCGTGGAATTATGCCAGGTGCGTTCGGCTCACCCATAATGCTGTTCAGTGCGAAAAAGAAACGAACGTTCATTGATGTCCGCGAGATGCATCTATCGTTAACATTAATGATACATGATAGATAACTTGCCCATAGCATAATTTAAAATACACACGTTTTTAAAGTTAGTCTCAGTTTTTCGATCTCATAACCTGTTACTATGTTATTGTACACAGCTGTAACAAAATAAAAAATTCACACGACCGAAAAACAAGATTATCCCAATTTAGCATCAAACCAATAAGCACTATAATTATTATCAATTATACTAAAGCACCACTAATCATACCAAGTTAATATAAGCATAATAACATAATAATACTACTTCTAATAATAATAACAACATAATAGAATAGAATATAAAATAAATATAAGTAAATATAAGTAGATATAAGGGTAGTTCACTCGAACAGTTACCTGTAGGACTTTCCTGACGACGTCTGTCCGTAAGCGAACAGACAGACGTTGTATCCCTCCAGCGCTCGAGCAAGCAGCGGCTGAGCGATCGTGTTATACACCGTGTACTGTCCGGCGAAGTGGTCGTCGCGCGCCGCGAACGACCAGAAGCACGCGTCGTAGTGGAAGTCGTGCGTCGCCCCGGCGTCCGTCGTCACGACGCACTTGTTTCCGCTCATCTGCACGACGCTCCGCAGGTTCTCCTCTAATAGCTCCCTAAAGCAGTGCGCGGATAAAACACACGGCTCATTACGCGCGCCTACCAACGTATTAGCTAGCGAGCCATGCAGCCATGATTTGCACGGTCAGTTTTGAAGAACACTGAAGAATTATAAGAATTGCGGTACGATATTGTACACGTAGCACGGGCACTACATACCTCGACGTAAACGGACGAACTCTCACACCAACTGTGACTGAGCTTCCCTCTTCATCGTCGAAGTTGTCCAGTGAGCAAGGCTAAACATAAATAACTCATGTGAATGACAATTCTTGTAAAACAATTCACCCTGAAAAAATGCCCAGAACATATGTCTGTACTAGACAGTAAGTACTGTAACCTTACATAGCAGTATTTGAAGGTACGTAAGCCTACATGGCCTTACACAAACCTGGCTTGTAGTCGTAGGTGTCAAGCCATTCGTATTACACGTCGTCGCGGCGAACTTCCCTCGCTGCACACTGGTCGGCTTGCTGAAATAAGCAGTGTCCGGTGTGCCCTCATCACCAGCTGGCGCCGTCTTCTTCGGCGTTTTTAGAATCGACTGCAGATTTATCGGCGACTTTCTTGGCGTTCTGCTGTCGGTGTCTCTGTCGCCTGCTCTCGGCGTTTGCAGTTTATTCCCTTTGGGAGACAGACCCTGCCGCTTTTTCGGAGTTTTATCCTTCGGAATTATCGGTGATCGGAAGTACTTGGCCGGTGTGGAGAGCCTTGGAGAGGCTGTGTTATCACTGCAGGAGAGTGTAGTCGTGTTGGGATGTGGGGAGCTGCGTGGGCGTACTTTGTCCCTAGGTGTTGATGAGTTATCCTTCTGCTCTGGCATTTTCGTCGACGATTTAAGATTCTCGTCATTTTTCCGAATTACCTCTTTGAATTTCAATGTCTTTTTGGGCCGTTCTGCGGACTGGGACCTGCCTCGAGATGGTGTTCTGCTGCCATCTCTCGACTTCTCAGGTGAAATTAGCAACTGGCCAGCTGCAGAGTGAATTTCCAATTGAAGAAGGTCAGCAACGGAATCCTTTCCCTGTTTCACTGGCGTAGTAGGCTGCGATCTCGGTTTCCTGATCACATGCCTGCCCAAATCATGCGCTCGCGAATTCTTCACATGGTGATGATCCTTTGAACTTGACATAGTGACATTTGTCACAATTTTGTGCACTGATCAGCACGCTGCACAAGCGGTTAGATATGAACCCCCGAGGCTAGAGATGAACCAGTTTCATTTTAGTTAATATTGTGATTACTTAGTAGACTTAGAATACGACAAAATCGTGACTAATTGATTAAATAAGTATATATCGCTATAAGTATAACTATTTTCACTATTTTGTTCATGTTTATTTACTCACATGCAAGATTTTGAGTTTCGAACCAAAAACTGACGTCTCGATTGGTGGAAATAGTCACGTGCCAAAATACTCAATGCAGCGCCCTCTCTTGGTAGTAGAAAGAAGATAGCAACACAGGCCGCATTATTATTATTATTATTATTATTGTTATTATTATTATTATTATTATTATTGTTATTAGTATTATTGTTGTTGTTATTATTAATATTATTATTGTTATTATTAAATCTTTATTGCATCTAGTTCAAATTCAAACACATGTACTGAAATTTCCTGTCCAACTCTCTTTTTCATAAAGCAAAAAACTACAATGAATGCAATAGTGTTGTGCGGTTAAAATAACAAAATGTCTAAATAATACAATACAACACAATACAACGCTATATAACACAACGAAATAATATAATACAATAACGAGAACACTTTCTGTAGAAGTAAAAAATTGTTAAAAAAATTGTATTATTATGTATTAATTATGTATATTGTAGTATCAATACAATCGTATGCGGTATTGATAGATAGATGTATAGTAGATACCTGTATAAGCTGTTTGAGCTGTATATAATACCTGTTATTATATACCAGAACATTATATGATATACATATAACTAAAAAAATCTGTTGGAGCTGCGCAGACGGATCACTTCATTCGTTGTAAGAGTCTTCTGTAGTTGTATTTTTTACTCTAAATGCTTGCTTGACGCACACAAATAATTTCTCAGTGCATTTATTGTGATATACACTATTTAATAAATACTGCACTGTCTCTTGCGCTCACTTACTTTGACGCAAATTGTGTAAGCGCGTATGCATACACATATGTGCCCGCACACACACACACACACACACACGCACGCACACGCACAATATGTATATATATAACCTATATTAAACTTTTCATTTCTGCATATATCATAATTTATTCAAAGAAAAACAATCAAAAAGTACGCATTTTGATTTCAAAGAACAATCCATACGTATCTATTAAATATATCTACGTAAAGAACACGTATACACGCACAATTAAGTTATTCATAAAACACTCCAGATCTGTTGCATGGCATGGCCTGCACTAGTGTATATATATTGCATATATTGAGGTCACATTACCTCACACAGGGTTCATACCAACTCTCCAACTACTTCCCGACGCTTCGAGCCAGGATAAATACAGATGTTACATCTACCAACGCTCTTTTATTTTTATTTTAACTTTGAACTCACGGAAATGTACTACCAAATGAAATCCATGCTGTCTGCTATAGATATCCAGCCAACCTACAATCTATCCACCAGACCCTATTGACAGGCAGCTGTGGTAATAACAGCAATAGCATAGGAGTGCTGCAAAATTGACAATTTAACTTCGATTCTACTAACTATACTAATTATCTATAAATTGATTTTCATTTCCTACTAGCCTACCGACTTTCCCCTGAATTATCCCTACACATGCTCCCCCATGACGTTTTCTAAGTTTTCATGATCACTGACTAATATGCATGGCATCTGCTCCACACATTTCAATAGAGTGAAAATACATTATTCTTCCATGTCAAACACATTATTTTGTGCTAATAGGGCGGAGTTTATATTGCGTACCTTTTACCAATTACATATTCGTTCCATAACGAAATACAACCTAGTCATGCGGATGACTTATCAACGTTAGTAGCAAAGATGTATGTAGTACAGAAACTACTAGCTAATGCAATCCGTATAATAAAAGTTAAATACTAAATGAGTAAAAATGGAAAACAACTCTTACACACAACACACAATATAAAATGAAAACCTTATAAATAAAACTTTTCAAATGTGAAGATTCCCATACAACGATTAGAATGACATCAACAATAAAAAATTTCTCTTTTAGTCAATTACTATCCAGTTCAAAAGAAAACCATTGAAATTGATAAAATTCATGTTTAAAAAGACAAGGCCAATATCAGAAAGATTCTTGGTGGCAACCTTTTATACTGCCTGTCACTCTTAATTGTCACACACGTGACACTTGTTTGGCACAATCACATTATCAAAAACTCTACTCATATTTATCAAAGTCAAACAATTTCCAATAAAACGATGGCAATTGAAAGATACGAGTATTAAAATCAAACCTTTTTATATTACAGAGCTTGTTACTCTTACCAGCCATGACTATTAAGTAAATTAAGTAAATATATGTAACCGTTAATTACTTCCTATTCTTCACAGCCTAATTACGTTTATAAATTTCCTGGCAATTCACCAAGATTTGATGGAAGCATGCAGCTGTATAAATATATATGGAAATATATATGTGTGTGTACGTGCGCGTGCGCGTGCGTGCGTGCGTGCGTGCGTGCGTGCGTGCGTGCGGGTGTTGTGTTGGTATGTATGTGTGTGTATATGTGTGCATGTGTGTGCATGCATGGCATGTGTGCGCGTGAGCGTGTGTGCGTGCGTGTGGGTGGGTATGCAATGACTGAAATCTAGTTGTTAGAATCCAGGGTATCATGTGCCTGTTGAATGAGAGCCACTAGGGAGGCAGGCAGCTGCATGTCCGGCGATACAGGTTTCCACTCCACAGTGCTGCTCTCCTAGAAACAGTGCACCACGATTAATACAGTTTCATATACATTTACAGGATACTATCTATCTATCTATCCATCCATCCATCCTTCTCTCTCGTTTTCTCTTTCTTTCTCTCTCTCTCTCTCTCTCTCTCTCTCTCTCTCTCTCT